CCGTGTGTACGTGTTTGTACATGTGTGTGTGTGTGTGTACGTGCGTGTCTGTGTGCGTGTGTCTTTGCGTGCATGTTATTACAGTGATGTACGTGTTTGTGTGTATGTATGTGTATGCGCGTACTTACGTACACTCTTACTTACATACATACATACATACATACATACATACATACATACATATATATATATATATATACATACATACAAACATACATACAAACATACATACATACATACATACATACATACATACATACATACATACAAACATACAAACATACATACATACAAACATACAAACATACATACATACATACATACATACATACATACAGACATACATACATACATACATACATACATACATACATACATACATACATACATACATACATACAAACATACATACAAACATACAATATATTCTATGGAAGCCTTTTTAATTACGCCTATATGGAGCAGGTGTCGACAGTGATGCTGGATGCATGTACTGTTCCAGATGATGACGACGATGATGATGACGATAAAGGGTATAGTGATGATGATAGTGTCTGTGATGACTGTGTATAAATACAAACATACATACAAACATACACACATGCATACTCACAAACGTACAGACACATAAACAAATTTATATACATACACACAAATAAACAAACATACATAACACACATACATGCATATGTACACACAAACAAACAAACAAACATACATACATACATACAAAACACAAACATACATACATACATTCAAACAGACATACAAACAGACATACAAACAGACATACATAGGAAAAGATGCAGGTATAAGATTTATTCGTTCGTTCGCATTTCTGTAATTATATTCATCATGTGGTTGATATGAAGATGATGGTTAATATTATTATTATTATTATTATTATTGAGGAAACGACGATGATGATAACGATGATGATTGTGGTTGTAATGATAATGAAGCCGACAAAGATTACTTCAAACAAACAAACAAACAGACAAACATACAAACAAACATACAGCCATAAATGCAAATAAACAGATAAACATGCAGACGTGCAGACACACGCAGACAAACATACCTACGGACATACAAACAAATACACCGACATACAAAGACAAACGTGCAAACTTCAAAGTTAAAGATTGAAAGTTGTCGAGACAATAAACATGAAAAGATTCAATTCTGCGAAAAGATTTTTCCATCAACAACATCTTAATCGATCGATGGCTCATCGGATGCATGGATGAATGATTAGATGAATCAATGCTTGAATGAATTAATGAATAAATAAATGAATGAATGAGTGAGTGAGTGAGTGATTGAATAAGTATATGAATGAACTAACGAATGAACAAACGAACAAATGAATGAACAATAAATGTAAAAATTTATGTAAAAATGTGTGCGTGTGTGCGTGTGTATGTGTCTTTGTGTGCGTGAGGTGTGCATTATTTAATTCATATGCACATTTCAGCATTATTATTTCCTTCCTATGTAAACGCTTTTATCAGCCTGTTGATGTGATGTATGTGATTGTCGTATTGTATGTGTATGTTTGTATGTTCGTTTGTATGTTTGTATGTTAAAACCAATTCATTGACGAATGACACCAAAAGCCAAGCGTCTGACTAAATTTGATTTTATTTGCTTTAACGTCACTCAACCACGTCGGCATTCAACTGCACATTTTTGTATGTATATATGTATGTATGTGTGTTTGATTGTTTGCATGTGAGAATATGCATGTATGGGTGTGTGCGTGTGAATATATGTATGTAAGCCTGACACGAAAAATTTTAAACAATTTTACTTCGGTCAGCTGCTACTTTAATTCTCTATATCATTTTTGTTGTTAAGTTAAACTCCGTTTCATCTCGTTTCGTATTTTAATCCCGTTTCGTTTTGTTTTGCATGTATGTATGTATGTGTGTATAAGATTATTTTATAAATTAATAAGGTGCATGTCGTAGTCCCATTTATCATAACTTAATAAAAGCCTTCAAAGGTTATTTGTTTTTACTACAATTTGAATTTTTATTCTGTATATATATATATATATATATATATATATATGTATATTATTTTGTATGCTTGTGTATTTTTATGTTTGTATGTTGGTGTGTGTATGTGTGTGTGTGCTGTGTGTGTGTGTTTGTTTCTCATCTTCATCACCATCTTCATGATCATGATCATCATTCTCTTCGTTTCCTCCTTCATCATCATCATCATCATCATCATCATCGTCATCCATATCATTATTAAAGATGACGTAACTCATCACGTGACAATTCCGCCATTGTTACGGCTAATATTATTTCAATAAACAATTTTTCTATTCATAACGTAAAGAAAGGCTAGATAAATGGGTGAATGGGGGTGAGAATGAATGAATGAATGAATGAATGAATGAATGAATGAATGAATGAATGAATGAATGAATGAATGAATGAATGAATGAATGAATGAATGAATGAATGAATGAATGAATGAATGAATGAATGAATGAATGAATGAATGAATGAATGAATGAATGAATGAATGAATGAATGAATGAATGAATGAATGAATGAATGAATGAATGAATGAATGAATGAATGAATGAGTGAATGAATGAATGAATGAATGAATGAATGAATGAATGAATGAATGAATGAATGAATGAATGAATGAATGAATGAATGAATGAATGAATGAATGAATGAATGAATGAATGAATGAATGAATGAATGAATGAATGAATGAATGAATGAATGAATGAATGAATGAATGAATGAATGAATGAATGAATGAATGAATGAATGAATGAATGAATGAATGAATGAATGAATGAATGAATGAATGAATGAATGAATGAATGAATGAATGAATGAATGAATGAATGAATGAATGAATGAATGAATGAATGAGTGAATGAGTGAATGAGTGAATGAATGAATGAATGAATGAATGAATGAATGAATGAATGAATGAATGAATGAATGAATGAATGAATGAATGAATGAATGCATGAATGAATGAATGAATGAATGAATGAATGAATGAATGAATGAATGAATGAATGAATGAATGAATGAATGAATGAATGAATGAATGAATGAATGAATGAATGAATGAATGAATGAATGAATGAATGAATGAATGAATGAATGAATGAATGAATGAATGAATGAATGAATGAATGAATGAATGAATGAATGAATGAATGAATGAATGAATGAATGAATTA